CGCCTGCCCCTCCCAGCAGCTCAGCTGCGACTTCTCTTTTGGGTCCTGGCCTGACAGCTCTTGCCGTCTGTGCCTCACGTCCACACAGATGATAAACCCCTCGTGGGGCTGTTAGGATGACAAGGTGAGACGGCATCTGTCAGCTCTTACAGAGACGCAGGCAAACAGTGCGGCCCCACACCCCTTGCCCTTTGCTCCCCAGGCAGGGTGGGCGGGCCGATGCTTCTTCCTCATCCAGTGCTGTGGTTGACTTGTCCTTCTCCCTGCTGGGCTGAGAGCTTCATGAGAGAGGGGTCTGTCATTTTTCTTCACTGTCCTGAGGACCCAGCATTAGGATTTGATGAATGAGTATGCAAGTGTGTGTACCTTCCCCATGGAGAGCATTCCGGAGAGGATATCTGGGATTGTCACCAATACCACAACCAGTACTGAGGGGCAGTTGGGGGCAGTGAAGGGAGCAGTGGCTGTGAATCTGCGATTTCCCGTGAAACAGTTATATCCAGCCCAGTCCCACTCTGAGCTGCCCATGGGGGAGTGTGCATTAGCTTTTGGACTTGGTGGGTAAAGTTATGGAATTCCTCTCCCTCCCCCTGTCCTGAGCCGGGATGTAAGGGCTCCCTGCCTGGGGTAGTCCCTGCTTACCACCTCTGGAGTGACTCTCTGGTCCCTGTCTTTGCGAGATCCTGCCCCACCGCCTCCCGTTGAACCCCTGGCCTGTCGGCACACACTGATACTGCTCCTCCAAGATGCTGAAGCAGAGGCGAGTCAGCTGGGAGGGCATGCAGCCCAGGAGATAGGTTGTTCAAGACCCACCCCACCTGCCAGGACCATGGCGTGGCAGAGAGTAGCAGGGGCAGTGGAGAGGGGGAGCTAGAGGAGGACATGAGGGCAGTGGGGACTCAGGCAGTGGTTCCAGAACCACCAAGTATGTAGCACTGCCTGGGTTAGAGACGCAGTGGGGGCCAGAGGCAAAGGGCCTTAAATGCCAGGCCAGGGAGCTGGACTTTACCCCAGAGGCAGGGACGGTTTTAAGCAAGGAATATCCTGGTCCCACCCAGTGCCTTTCAGGTGACAAGGGAGGTGGGTACAACATACCTTCTGTCCCCGAGTTTTCTGTGCCTGAGCTAGTGAGCCATGCTTTCCCCACCCGTGTTCCCTCAGTTGCTCTTGGGGTGCCCCTGACTCAGTTTCATGCCTGTGGGGGTGGCTGGTCAGCATGGCAGTCTTGAGGCCCCTCTGTCTCCAGGCCAGGCTGGTACCAGTCAGTCCTCCCAGGGAGGCTCCTGGAGGGGCTGTGTGGTGGGGTGTTGGGTACTTTGGCAGTGGGTGAGCCCTGGCCCTCTTCCTGCCGTTCCAGGAATAAGCCTCCTCATCCCCCCAGATGCCATACCCCGAGGGAAGATCTATGAGATCTACCTCACGCTGCACAAGCCGGAAGACGTGAGGTGTGGCCGTGGGCCCTGTGGCTGGGGGTGGGAGGGACCTGCCTGCTGCCTTCAGTCCCCGGAAAGGCCCCTGCCCACCCACTGTTGTGCCTGGCCTGAAGGGAGGGGGAAGAGCTGCCTGTGGCGGGGAAGAGCTGTGCCTAAGCCCCATCTGGCTCTGCAGCCCAAGCCTCTGGCCCCTGGGATGCTCTGCCCTGCCCTTGGCCTGGTGTGGGTCACTGACACCTTTCCCTCCCCACCTGTATTTCCCCACTTGAGGTTGCCCCTAGCCGGCTGTCAGACCCTGCTGAGTCCCATCGTTAGCTGCGGACCCCCCGGCGTCCTGCTCACCCGGCCGGTCATCCTGGCTATGGACCACTGTGGGGAGCCCAGCCCTGACAGCTGGAGCCTGCGCCTCAAAAAGCAGTCATGCGAGGGCAGCTGGGAGGTGAGCGGGGAACCTACCCATGCTCCAGAAGGGAACATGGACTAACTGCATGCTCAGCCTGGCCCTCTGCCGCTCTGGGTTGCCTTGAGCTGTGCCCCCACCTGTGCCCAGTCTCCGGCCACTTCTTGCAGCCACGGCTGGCTCCAGGGCTCTGAGGCTGGGCAGAACTGACCCACTGACCCCTGCCCGCAGGATGTGCTGCACCTGGGCGAGGATGCGCCCTCCCACCTCTACTACTGCCAGCTGGAGGCCAGCGCTTGCTACGTCTTCACTGAACAGCTGGGCCGCTTTGCCCTGGTGGGAGAGGCCCTCAGCGTGGCTGCCGCCAAGCGCCTCAAGCTGCTTCTGTTTGCGCCAGTGGCCTGCACCTCCCTCGAGTACAACATCCGGGTCTACTGCCTGCATGACACCCATGACGCACTCAAGGTATTGCCCACCCCTCTCCCCTGCCCCTGGGAGGCCTAGCTGTGCCTAGCCCTGTGGCCTGACTGCCTGGGGGCAGTGGGGAGGGGCCTGAGCTGACCACCTGGGCACTGCAGGAGGTGGTGCAGCTGGAAAAGCAGCTGGGAGGACAGCTGATCCAGGAGCCTCGGGTCCTGCACTTCAAGGACAGTTACCACAACCTGCGCCTGTCCATCCACGATGTGCCCAGCTCCCTGTGGAAGAGCAAGCTTCTCGTCAGCTACCAGGTGAGGGCCAGGGCCATGGCCAGAGCACAAGGGGTCTGGAGTTTGGGCTCACCTGACACCTCCTCTGCACCCCTATCAGGAGATCCCCTTTTATCACATCTGGAACGGCACGCAGCAGTACCTGCACTGCACCTTCACCCTGGAGCGTGTCAGCCCCAGCACTAGCGACCTGGCCTGCAAGCTGTGGGTGTGGCAGGTGGAGGGCGATGGGCAGAGTTTCAACATCAACTTCAGCATCACCAAGGTGGATGGGAGGGGTTGCAGCCCTGCCGTGATGTGCTCCCACTACCAACTCCCCACCCGCCCCAAAACACTCCCGCCCTGCCCCTCACTATCCCTCCCACCTGTCCCCAAGCCCCATTCCTCCTAGAAACCCCTTGGCAGCTTCCAAGGCACAGGTGCAAATGGGACTTGGGGAGGGGAGTGAAGGGGACATGGGAGCAGCAGGAGGGGAAACCCTGCAGGTCTTCCCTGAAGAGGTGCTTTGTCCTGGGCCCCAAAGAATGAGCCAGTTTGGCTGCAGCATTAAGGGGAAGAGCATTTCTGGCAGTGGGAGCTGGGCAGGGCTGGGAGGAGAGCTGTGTGTGAGTATCAGCAGAGGCTGAGGAGGGTGACGTGGAGGGGAGAAGGGCGGAGAGGGAGGGGGGCCACAGAGGGCTCTTCTGCTCACTGACTATGTGGCTTTGGGCAGGTCACCACACCTCTGAGCCCCAGTAAGCAGAGCCTTGGCACATGAGAGGTCCCCAGGAAGTGCCAGTGCTCATGCTGCCCCATGCTCTGGGGGCCTTGGGAGCTCCACAGCAGGAGGTGGCAGTGGCCCCAGCCTTGGGGAAACTTCTAACAGGTACCTCTGTCCCTCCCACCCCCAGGACACAAGGTTTGCTGAGCTGCTAGCTCTGGAGAGTGAAGGGGGGGTCCCAGCCCTGGTGGGCCCCAGTGCCTTCAAGATCCCCTTCCTCATTCGGCAGAAGATCATTTCCAGCCTGGACCCACCCTGTAGCCGGGGTGCCGACTGGCGGACTCTGGCCCAGAAACTCCACCTGGACAGGTGGGCAGGAGGGGGGCAGAGAGGGCCTGCGCAGGCCACCGACAGTGCTGCCCAGGTTGGGGCTGGGTGGACAGGAGGCCCTGTGGGGCCTGTGCGGTATCTACTAGTGGCTGGGGCAGTCAGTGTGTTTGACTTGGGGGAGGCCCTGCCCTGGGGTGGGCCTGGGGGGCAGGAGGTATCAGCTGGGGCCAGGCCAGGCTGCTGACAGCCCCCTTCCTCTCCACAGCCATCTCAGCTTCTTTGCCTCCAAGCCCAGCCCCACAGCCATGATCCTCAACCTGTGGGAGGCGCGGCACTTCCCCAATGGCAACCTCAGCCAGCTGGCTGCAGCGGTGGCTGGACTGGGCCAGCCAGACGCTGGCCTTTTCACAGTGTCGGAGGCCGAGTGCTGAGGCCGGCCAGGCCCAACGCCTACACTCTCACCAGCTTTGGCACCCACCGGGGACAGGCAGAAGCCGGACAGGGGCCCTTCCTCACACCAGGGAGAGCTGCTTGGACAGGCCCCCTCCCGGCCAAAGTTGTCCCTTAACGCTGGTCCTTCAGACCCTGCCTGAATTCCCACCTCTCCATGGCCTGCCTGGCCAGGCTGGCACTGCCACCTGCTCACATTCAGCCTCCGGGCCCAGGGTGGGCAGTGCCTAGAGCCTGGGCCAGGCCCAGCCCATCTATGTGTGTGTGTGTGTGTGTATGTGCGTGTGATGCTACCTCTCCTCCCGTCCCTCTCCAGGGGCCCTGCATACACACAGCCATGTACGCACACACTGGGCCTGAGCCAGGGCCCCAGAGCTCCTGCCTAAGCCAGACCTTATGCAAACATTTCTGTGCCTGCTGGGCAGGGGCACATCTGAGGGGCCCGGCTCCAAGCCTCCAGGACCAAGGGCCACAGTTGGACAGGGGGTAGCCCCTGGATTCAGGCACACGACCACCACACGAGCACGTGCCACGCATGCCTCGTGTGCTCATCTCACACGCACCCCCTCCTGGGTCATGCAGACACCCCCCCACCACACACATCTCATGCTGTACACCTGAGGCTGCTCACATCTCACGCCCGGTGTCGGTGCACATTTGCCTCTCACGTGCTGCCCTCTCCACCCACCCAGGGACACCCCACGGCTCCTCCCTGCCCCTGCCCCTGCCCCTCCCCCAGCCTCAAGGTACCCTGCCCGGCGGGGCCTGTGAATATGCAATGGGAGTCCCGGGCTGTACAATGGCGAGTGTGTGTGGTGTGGCGTGCCCGTCCATAGGGCTGGCTGGTGCCCCACGTGGGCCCTGTCATGCGAAGCTCGTGTCCTGACTTTGTCTTAAGTGCATTCACGCACTTACACTTGGCCTTATGTACACAGCCTTGCCCGGCCGCCGGGGCGCATAGGGATTTTATCGGATGTGAATGTAAATAAATTATATATATATATTGCTAACCTGAGTGCTACTTCTCTCGGGGAAAGCCAGGGAGCAAGGCCAAATGGCCACAGAGGGGTCACACGTGGGATGTCCCAGGAGTCTGGGTGGCTGGGCCTGGCTGGGAGACAGGCGGATTCCAGCCCGGGTCCAGCAAGGCTGGAGCTGAGACCTCCTCAGCCTGGAGACTTCCTCAGATATGAGTCGACTGTGCTAGGCGGCAGGCAACAGCAGTGACCAAAGCCGCACCTTTGCCAGACCCATCCTCTGACTGCAGGAACGTGACTGCACAGCGAGGGGCCAGCTCCCGCACCGTGGCCGCAACCAGGCTGGAGAAGCTGTGAGGGAAGAGCTGAGGTGAGCCCAGGCCACCAGCCCCACCTGGTCACACCTCCCTCCCCAGCCCTCGCACCCAGACTCACTGTGGGTGCAGCTTGTAGAGTGTTCCATCCACCCCCACGGACACTGCCAGCTCTTCCAGGCCCCGGTTCTCCCGGATTTTCTCCACCACAGCAGCTACACCCGCCCCGCAGAGCTGGGCAGCCCGCTGGGACACGGCCTGGCAGACCTCTAGCACCATCAGGGCATCGTCTGAGGTCAGGGGCAGCCCCAGGTCCTCTAGGATGGCTCGGACCTGCCGCAGGGCCAGGCTGTCGCTGGGGACCAGGAAGAAAGAGAGCAGAGAGGCAGGTCATGACTCTTCCCACTTCATCCTCCAGAGCGGACCTCGACACCACCCAGGCCAGCAGTCCCCAACAGTGGACAGAAAGACTCCCTGGAGTAGGGGAGGCAACATAGGCCTCAGGCACCTTTCGATCTCAGAGAGGAACTTGGTCTTGAAGATGTCCCTGGTCTGAAGGCACTGGGTCTGCTGGCCCCGGAAAAGAACGCCAAGGCTGGTTAAATGTAAAAGGATATGGCGGACGATCTCCCCCAGGTACATGCCGCTGATCATCTTTTCAAACCTGCGTGAACATGTGTGTGCACACATGGCAAAAGGCCCCACTGGCCACTGACCCCAGCACTGGTCACAGCCAGCCACCACCATCTGGGCCCAGCCCACACCTCTGCTTGCCAGGGTTGATGGACGCCTGGTCCACACTTGTGTCAAAGCAGGTGCTGAGCGTGTCCAGAGAGCCATCATCCCCAAAGGCACCCCACTCCATGTTGATGCACATGTGGCCTGAGTCCCCAGGCACTCCTGCCACATTCCGGAGCTCCTCCATGTAGCAAGCATTGGTGCCAGTTCCTGCAGAGAGGCCAGACAACGCGGAAGCCATTTGTGGATGTGGACAAGGACCCTCTGAGTACTTCCCATACCAAGATGGAAAATCCGGGCTCATTCTCTACCTCTCCATCTCCTCATGCTCACAGCCTGTCCCTAGACCTGGTCCACCTTCCTTCCCCACATCCCTCGTGCAGACCCTGCTAGCTCCAAGCTCTGGGGACCTTCACTTCCTTTCCCACCAACGTCACCATCAGTGCAGCCACCATACCATCCCCAACTGCTCCTACAATGCCCAGCTGTCTTGTCATTCCCCTGGGAGACATGTGATGTCCCCTCCCCTTACCCCTATCTCTCTTCAGATGAGAGGTCAAAGCTCCCGGGCCAGTCCCTTAATCCAACTAAGAAGTGCTAGGCCAGGAGCGGGAGACACAGAAAAATCAAAGATAAGGAGCCCCGCTGTCTGGCCAGAGATCAGGCAATGAACAGCCAGCTCTGATGGAGCCTCTGTCCCCCCGTAGAAGCACCAAGGAGAGCATCATGGGAGCCCAGACCAATGGGCGAGTCTCCACTAACACGGTCAGGAAAGCTACAGAGAGGAAGTGACTGAAGCCAGGAAGCACAGAAAGGAAAAGGCATTCAGGCAGAGGGCACACCCCGGATAAGGGCATCTCCTTCTACCGACACAGCTTCAGCTCCAGGCAGGTGGGCTCCTTGCTGGCCACACCTGAAGTTCCTCTGTCCAGCTGTGTATGCACACAGCAACCTGGGCACACCTCTCCCAAGTGCCTAAAAGTGCCAGTCCTGGAGTTCAAAAAGCTCCCCACCAGGAGAGGCCGCCACATGGCTCGTGTTGAGAGACCAGTGCCCAAGGAGCTGTGGGATCCCTCCTCCCCCACAGAACCAAATCCTTTCTTTCAGGGTTTTCTTTTCAAATTCCACTCATCCTGGGACCCATTCCTTTCTGATCTTGGCCTTGCTGCTGCCCCCATATAAAATCAAGTCACTCTCTGACTGCCACGTGTTGTTCCGGGCTTAACCCTTACTGAATGGTCAGTTCTGAGAAGGCAGAGATTTCCTCTTGTTTAATGTGTCTGTGGCTACAGTGTAGGTGCTTGATAAGGACAGAATCTTGGACTGTCTGAAGGACCCTCATTGCTCATTGGTACCCTGCCCCCACCCAGCTCCAAACACCAGGTGTATACCGTGAACCAGGAACCATGCTAAACTTTGTCCCCTCCCATTTCATCTTCACAATGCCTTGAGACAGGCATTGCTATTCTTATCTCTAAGAGATGCAGAAACTGAGGCTCTGATGACTTGCCCAAGGTCATACAGGTAGAAACACACAAAGCTAGTATTTCCCCCAAATCTGTACAACTCAAGATGATCTGTACAAAGCTCAGATTCATTTATTAGATGGGAAAACTGAAGTCCAAAGAGCTTAAACAACCATGAGTTAGTCACTGAGCTAGACTCAACACCCAAGCTCCAGACTGCCAGCCCAAGAGATTGTTCTAGAGCCCCATTGGGTCAGACAGGAGCAATCCCACATCCCCAATGCCAAGGAAACATCTAACGAGAGGTATCAACAGAAGGCAGCAAATTGCCAAGCAGTAGGCGCATGAAAGGGCAGGGCCCTCCTCACCGACAATGAGGCCTATCTCGCAATGGGGGTCCTCATAGCCACAGGACATCATGGTCCCCACCGTGTCATTGACAATAGCAACCACATTCAGCTCCACTGCCTGCACACAAAAGGATGCTGCTAGTTGCTGGGCAACACGGTTGTCACAGCAACAAGAACTGGACCAAGAGGTCTCTACTGCAGAGGGCTCCCCCCTCAAAGTAGGAGACTCTGCTCCCCTCAAGGTCTGCCACACCCCACAAAGCACTCCTAGAACAGGCTTCTACCTGTCTGCGCATGATGGCTTCCCGCAACAGACTCACAACATCTTGGCCCTCACAGTCTGATGCGTTGAAACCCTTGGTCCAGTTCAGGAGGATGCCCTGGGGTGGGACAGAGAGGAAGTGGTAGGAAGCTGGAGGCCCTTTCAGGCTCACTCTGCCTCCCCAAACCCTGCATCCATCACAAGCATATGACTTCCACCCTCCCCAAGTACGATTCCTTGCCTACTTTGCTGTATGGTTGAAGGCCTTGCCCTCTGCCTGCTCCCTACTCCCCAGGAGCCTTTTGGTGTGAAAAAACCTATTAATAACCATCTAACCTACATTTTCCATTATTAGTTCCAGAATGCCCAGACGGTCAGAGAGTCTGGCCATTTTAAGACATTTGCCCAGAAGGAATAGCCCTTTGTAATTGTGTTAGGAATGAACAGAGCTGGTAAAGGGAGTGTTGTGTGTGAGACAGGGGAGGAGAGAGAAGGCTCAGAGGCCCAGATGGCAGCAGACCCCGCCTTTCAGAAAGAACGCCAAGTTACTCGAGAGGAAAGAATTCTCGGCTTCAGGGATAGAGCCCTGTCAATGGGTGAGTCACTCTTGTGTTCCAAATACAGGTGGAGGAGGAATGGAGAAGTCAGAACCCAGGCCCCTGGGCAGGACAGAGGTGGAGTGCCTGTATTGTGAGAAAATGGACATAGAACTTAGTGGCATAGGCTTGACCATACCTGGAAAGGAGTGCCCTGTTTTCAGTGTGTGTCCTGTGAGGGAGGGGGCAGGGGAGCAGGAATTTGTCTACAGCTGTTGGAAGAAAATTACTGCTCTGCTCAGAGGAGAAGCACAGACGGTAGGTCTGGAAATCTTTGGGACAGAAGATTTAGAAATAGTAAACAATGGCCAGATGCAGAGGCTCTCGCCTGTAATCCCAGCACTTTGGGACGCCGAGGCAGGAGAATCACAAGGTCAGAAATTCAAGACCAGCCTTGCCAACATGGTGAAACCCTGCCTCTACTAAAAATACAAAAATTAGCCAGGTGTGTTGGCGGGTGCTTGTAATCCCAGCTACTCAGGAAGCTGAGGCAGGAGAATTGCTTGAACCCATGAGGCAGAGGTTGCAGTGAGCCAAGATCATACTTCTGCACTCCACCCCGGGCGACAGTGTGAGACTCTGTCTCAAAAAAAAAAAGAAGAAATAGTAACCAACATTTCCCTCCAATAATAGGTCCTTTTATCGCCCCCCCCTTTTTTTTCATTGTTCCAGGCTCATTGTCTCAAAAACAGAAAGCAGAGAAAGTGATAGAAAGAGAGAAAGAACCCATTTGAGAGAGACCGGATGATGAGTAATAGCCCCTGTGTGGGCTGTTCTTCCTAGTATGGGGAAGGGGAGGTGAAAGGGGAAGTCAGACCCAGGTTGTTGATGGCTTCCTGAGACAGGTGTCCTGTGCCCTCCCCTCTGGGCTAAATCCCTATTCAGAAGAGATCTGAGAACAGAGGAGGCCTCTGCCCTCCTTCCCCAGGTAATGCCCAGGAAGGTGTCAAGACTCAAAAGACAAAGTGGCAGAGGGAAGTACCCAGAGAGCAGGGGCTGGGGCATCTCCCTGAGTTCCCCACACATCTGCAAATTCTGCACAGCAAAGGCTGCTGCAGAGCCAAGGGGGCCCCTGGGGAAGGCAATCCCCACACTGGTTAAGTTTTCACCCCTGCAAAGAATGTGGACCTAACACAGATAATTAAGTTCAGTTACAGAAAAGTAATAAGACTATGTTTCTTGCCCCCTCTGGATTTGCACACCGAATCACACCTGCCTCTCACACCTTACAAGGAATAATCAAAAGGACTGAGCAGGCTTAGCCTGGAGCAGAGGAGGCCAGCAGCCAGAATGTGGTCCACTGCACCATCCAAAGGACCACCATGTAAGAGAGCAGAGAGAGTTGCATATCAGGCTGGGCACAGTGGCTCACACCTGTTATCCTAGCACTTTGGGAGGCTGAGGTGAGCAGATCACCTGGGGTCAGGATTTCAAGATCAGCCTGGCCAACATGGTGAAACCCCATCTCTACTAAAAATACAAAAACTAGCCAGGCATGGTGGCATGTGTCTGTATTCCCAGCTACTTGGGAGGCTGAGGCAGGAGGATTGCTTGAATCTGGGAGGTGGAGGCTGCAGTGAGTGAGCCAAGATCACACTGCTGCACTCCAGCATGGGCAACAGAGCAAGACTCCATCTCAAAAAGGAAAACCAAGAAGAAGAGTTGCATATCAGAGAGAGGTCAGAGCAGGAGTAGGGGGTGAAAATCACATGGATGCTGGCTGGAGTAGGTGAGATGAAGCTTTTCAGTGGCCACTGGTATCTAAGAATGCAACCGTTGCCTTCAGGGTCAGTGAGCTCTTCGGCAAGAGGCTTTCAAGCAGAAGTTGGGTATGTTGAGAGGGACATTCCTGAGGGTTTGGACAAGAGGCCTGGGAGGTATTGTTTCTGTGAGGTTTCAGGTGTGTGCATTGAGAAGTCCCTCATCCTTGTGTAAGGACAAGCTAAAGTGTGTGCTGAGTAGGGATGCGTGTCTTGGCCTGTGCCTGGCATTTTGCCACCCCAGTCAGGCACCCAACACCAAGCCAGGCACTGAGAAGGAAACAAACAAAGGAGGAGAGATGCCAAAAAACTCCCAAGCAACCTCAAGCCCCTGCTAGACAGGAACAAACGCTGTTCCCGCAGCACCCTGAGACCCATATACCAGTGCTACGGCTAAAATGGACAATCTGTCCTCTGATCAGCCCCAATCTAGGCCAGACCTGCTCACAAATGCCTCAGGCCCTAACACTGGCCATACCACGTCTGGGGAAACTGAGGCTGTGTGCAGGCCCAGCCCAACAGTACTGCCCCCAACCTGGCCTTTTCCCCTGCCTCCTGTCAACTCCATGAAGGGTATGTGGATAGGACGCCCTTGGCGATCACTTCTCTTGGTCCGCCCTCACCTGATCCAGGCCAAGCTGCCTACATGGGAAGGAGAAGGTAAAACCCAGGGGTAGGCTCTGCCCACTGAGGCCCTGCTTCTGCTGGAAGTCCACGATGCAGTCCACAATGTGGTCAAAGAGCTGTGGAGAAGGACAAGTCAGGGGTAGGCACTGCTCAGCCCTCCCCACCTCTGACAACAAGGCTCAGGCTGTGGGTACCTGCTGCCCAGAACCCTGGGCCACACTCTCAGGGATGGAGTAGATCTGACTGGTGATCTGCACACATGTGGTCACACGTACCAGGAGGACACGGAAGTTTGTGCCCCCGAGGTCCAGAGCCAGGAAATCCCCTCGTTCTGTGAAACAGACCCTCAGTGCTAGGACAGGCCTTGTGGCTCCAGCCCCAGCACACACTGTGACCCCCAGGAGCCCATGTTTCTGTCCCACACTATTCAGGCCAGGTCCTTACCGCTGCCATCAGGTGTGGCCCTGACGTAAGTGGGCAGCATGCGGAGGGAGGATGCCTCCCCTCGGAGCCCCTTGGCCATGGCCTCCCGCATCTGTGCCTGAACTGCCGCCAGTTGATCGTGGTTCAACCGGAATGGGGCCAGGGTCTCTTCCAGCAGGCGCCAGTGGGCGGCCAGTCGAGCAGCCACAGCAGTCACCATTGCTACTCCCCGGCCACCCATATCCGCAGAGGGGATGAAGGAGACATCGCACTCTGGGGCCAGGAGCATCACTGTCCCCTGCAGAATGCTGCAAAACCTACAGATACACACAGGTGTACCTGGCTTGGCCCTAGACCCCCAGATACACACAGTTGCACCCAGCTTGGCCCGGGACCCATGGGGCCTGCTAAAGCCCAAGGCCCATCACTTTTTTTTTTTAAATCTTTTTAGATACCAGGTCTTGCTCCATCACCCAGGCTAGAGTGCCACAGTGTGAACATGGCTCACTGCAACCTCAAACTCCCAGGCTCAAATGATCCTCCCACCTCAGCCTCCCAAAATGTTGGAATTACAGGCATGTACCACCATGACCAGCCTCCCTGATCACTTCACTTCAATTCTAAATCTGTTCTGTGCACCAACCATATGCCCCAATGTCCCCTTGACCTCCACCCTTACACATACAAAGGGAAGCATCTTTTCTCTCCTTGAATATCTTCTGGCCTCCCATAGCTCAGCCTGGCCCTCTCTCTCCCTGAGTGCCCTTCATGTCCACTGGCTTACACACGTGATCCCAGAGTGCCCTCTGGGTGTGTATCACACATGTGTTCATGCCACCTGCTCATACAGACCATGTTTCCACAATACCTGGGGTGCCGCTCACACACTCGGCCTCCAGTGGCCACAGTGACCTGGAGTGTTTGTTGCTCACGGCTGTGCTGGAGGCGGGAAAGAACAGCGGCAAGGGCAGCAGCACAGAGCTGGGCAGCCCGCATGCACACAGCTGCACACACGCGCTGCACGAGCTCAACATCCGAAGCCTCAGGGCTCAGGCCCAAGTCCTGCAGGATAGCATGGACACGGGCTGCCCCAGCAGAGGGGCTGGAGAGGACAGGGAGCTGGTTTAGGGCTCAGCCCAGAAGCTCTCCATCCCACTAAAGCCCCATGGCTACCTTGGGGACAGAGAATACTCCTCTTCCCCCAAGCCAAGAATACACCACTAAGCCGTTGGCTCCCCCACTCACTCCTCCATCTCAGCCACGTGCTCCAGGAGGATGCTGCCTTGGCTCAGCAGGGCAGGGGAGGGGCAGCCACGGAAGAGGACCCCACGTCGGGTCAAGTGAGCCAGCACCAGCCGCACCAGCTCACCCAGGTACAGGCCCCCAATCATCTTCTCAAACCTGCAGGTGGGAAGGGCGGCTAAACGAAGCCTTTTCTAAGCACTCAGTCTAACTGGCTCTACCTCTAAGAGTTCCCAAAGGAGGATTATTTTCTTGGAAGCCCCCCAAACTAGAGACTCCAGAAGCAACAAATGGTCTCCCAGAGGACAGGTGGGTATAAGCCGGATGCCACTGCCCCCTCTGATGTAGGTTACATTCAGAAGCCTCCTGGAGAGGAAGCAGGACCCAAAGGAAGGCAGAGAGCACTTTGCTCAGCCACCTCCAACCCTCGACCCACAACCTGTCAGGGCAGGCCAAAGTCAGGAATGCAGAGGGCCAAGGGCTGACAATTCTGGGTTTTAGAATTTTGTGCCCTTCCTTCTTTGTATCTGGCCAGGGCCCCAAGGCTGCTCCCTGGAGACCCTCAGAGTAACAGGGAGGGGCCTAAGGGCCTGAGAACAGGGACAGAAGGGGTTGGGAGCAGAGCAGTCATAGACAGGGCCTGGAACCAAAGGTCAGGGCCCCCTGCCAGGGCACCTCTGAGCACCAGGATTCAGGGACTCATGGTCCAGGGTGTGGTCGAAGGTGGTTAGCACTGGCCCCAGTGCCCCATCATCGCTGAAGGAGCCCCATTCGACGCTGACGCAGACGCGGCCCCGGTCTTCATCCAGCACTGCCACGTGCCGCGCCTCCTCCATGTAACACACGTTGGTGCCTGTGTCTGGCAGGGACAACCCTGTCAGGGCCTGCCCAACAGGCAGCACACCCCCCTCCACCCATCATCACAAATGGTCTGTGGCTCACCTACAACAAGCCCAACCTCACACGGCCTGGCCCCCAGCTCACAGCCCATCATGGTACCCACTGTGTCGTTCACCACGGCAACCACGTCGATGTTGTAGGCCTGGATGATGGAGAGGGCAGAGGTCAAGGCTGGCCTGAGTAGCCAGAGCAGAGAGCCCGGGGGATGGGCAGGGCTGGGACCCTGGCTTTGAAGGAGACACATAGAGTCCATGAAACATATGTCTGAATGCCCCACACACTTGTGCCACAGATGCTCTGGGCTCCCACCTTATAGGAGCTTTTCCTTCAATCCCACCCTCAGTCTCTGTAACCCACACCTCGGGCCCCAGGTCACAGTGATGTCCACCTCAGCAGCTCCCAGGACCAGGATGAGTTTCCTGAGGCTGCACCTTGCCAGCCTCACCTCCTTGAAGGCTGCACCTTGCCAGCCTCAGCGTCATCCTGCCTGGCTCCCCAAGCCCATTCTTCCCAGCACTGGCTTCTCGCCACAGGGGCTTAGTTCAGACTGATCAGCCTTTCTCCAGCACTCAGACTCCTGTGTGTGGCCTTCTCTGAGACTAGATCTTCCGCCCCAGTCCCAGCCTAAGCACCAGGCAAACTCCTCCTTCAAGTCCCTGATCAAGCAGCCGGTGCTTCCTCCTTAGTGCTCCCAGAGCTGTCCATGCACACTTCCTCCACACGAACAATCTTTTATTAGAATGCTTCCCCCTCTAGACTGTGAAAACCTTGAGGAGAAGATCAGTCTATTCATGTTTGTTTGCCGAGGGTCCTGAGCATTTATTTGACCTTTCTTAGCCTCAGTGTTTTTTAACCTATATGGGAATGGGCGTGTCATGTATCAGGTTAAACTGGATGAAGGATGTGAAGAGGAAAGGAAACCAGCTCTCCCAGAAGCCCAGACCCAACACATGTGTGCCAGGCCCAGGCCAACATGGGCAGCCCTCCTGTCACCCCTCCCTTTACTCACCCCCTGCCTCTGAATGGCATCTCTCAGCAGCTGGACCACATCCTGGCCTTCCACACCACTGCACCTAAAACCTTTGGTCCAGGAAATGAGGGTGCTCTGGAGGCAGAGAAGCTGGGTTACTCCTCTGATGGCTTTCATGGGGCTACAGCCACCCTCCATCCATGGTCCCCATACCCACTTCACCTCACCCTGTCCAAGCCTGTCTGGTGACAAGGGAAAGAGAAGCTGAAGCCAAGCTGCAGACATTGTTTGCTCACAGGCTGAGCATCCAGGAACTCAGACAGGCAGTGGGCAGCAAAGTCAAAGAGCTGTAAGACAGGTGAGGGGCTCAGCCTTGTCCATGTGAGCCCCAGCCACCCAGCCAGGCCCCCAGACCGCAGAGGCTGGGCAGTGAGTGCTCACCTGCTGGCCGGCACCCAGCATCACGTCTTGGGGGATCACAAACTCCTGGCTCCTGGGCTCCACCCTATGCCCCTCAATGCCGGTTAGAGTCACCCATAAAACACGCAGTGAGGCCCCTGTGGCCCCCAACTCCAGCACCACGAAGTCTCCTTGCTCTGGAGAGCAAGCAGGTCACAGAAAGGCATGCAGCTGGCAAGACCAGAGCCCTCTGCCCACTCCCCAAATTCCTAAAGCCTGCAAAGTCTGGTCAAGGGGCCACAGAGATGGGGAACAGGGATAAGAAACATTTCCCTCTTTAGATCAGTACCCTCTTCCAGGCCTGGCCATGCATCTCAGTCTGTGCTACCCACCAGTGCCATGTGGGGTGGACCCCACATATGTAGGCAGCATCCGGACCACAGGGAAAGGGCTGGCCTGTCCCCTCAGTGCCTGCTCCATGGAACCCAAGAGGCTGGCTTGGATCTGCTGCAGCTGTGCCACTGTTACCTTGAACTGCTGCAGGCAGTCCTGCACCTGGGGAGAAACAGGCCAACATCTGGGAGGAGCACTGCTGGGCCAGCGCTGCTGGGCCAGACTCCCCAGCTCCAACCAAGGCAGAAGCCTGCCCTGCCCAGCCCACTCCTTAGCTCTTCATACACCCTGGCTGTCTTGCTGACAGCCTGCATCCAGCTCTGGCATCCTCAGAAGGCTCTGTCCTGGAAAGAAAACCCACATTCTTCCTCCTGCCCCATAAACTCATGGCTCCTTCTCAACTCCCTACATCCTCTACCCCACCCCTTTACTTTGAATTCAGGGTTCAGCAAGACCTTCTTCCTGCTGTACTATGAATGATTGCTCTCTGGTTCCCCAGGACCCACAGCAAGAGTCTCTCAATGACTTTTTGAGTCAACAAGAGAATAAACAAATGCACAAACAAACCTCAAGTGTTTCCCTCTCCTAACCCACTCTGCAGAGGATGGTCCTTTCTTCAGTTGATCATCCTTCCTGAAATACTGCTCAGGCCCTCACTCCACACTCAGCTCTATTCTAAGCACCGTACACACTTAACCAACCAAGTCCTGCTGAGATTCCAGGGTGGAAGACAGAAGTTAAGCACAGGAGCATACAATTTGGTTCCAGAAGTGATGGTGCTATTAAAGGGGGGGAATAGGTAGGAAATTAGAGAGTGACCAGGGTAGAAAGAGGTATTTTTAGACTCGAAGAGGGTTTCTCTGACGAGGTGACCTAAATGTAGAAAGGGAACAAGTCATTTGAAGATCCAAGGGAAGAGCAAGGGGATGGATTTGGGGAAGACAGATCTGGGAGTGGATTAGAGTCTGAAGTGGCAGGGGAGAAGGCATGGAAGACAGAGGCTGGGACACTCCAGGTTCTCCACCAGAAGCCCAGTAGCTTGAGAGCCCCAGGGACCTCACTCCTATGTGCCAAAAACCTCCCCTAGACGACCCTCTCGCCCATCCTTCAAAGAAGCCCCAACAGCCTCCCTGGATTCATTAGAGGGTCACAGCCCAGCAACTCCATCCTCCTCAGGCTCAGACTTTCCAAAGCCCCCATCTCCTATCACACAGGAGTTCCATTTCAATGACTTAATGGCTCCAACTGGACCTTTATCTGTGAAATAATAAGTCAGGCACCTGGATCATGAGGCCCCTCCAGGGAGGAGAGGCTGGGAGGAGAGTCTGCCAGTTGAGGGAGATAAGGACAACTCAGTCCCATCTCCTGCTTTAGGAAAAGAATGGGAAACAGATTCCTAAGGAGGCAAATAATCCTAACTGGGGTGTCAGATGTCCAGTTACATGTTCACCTTACAGCACACGCTTCCAGCAGCCATGCATGCTAGGAGTGCCCATGCCAACTCTACTCACCCTGAGACTACCTGGTGACAAGGGAAAGATAAGCTGAAGCCAAGCTTCAGACGTTTGCTCACAGCCTGCACATCCGGGGACTCAGGCAGTGGGCAGCAAAGACAAAGAGCCGCAGGACAGGCGGAGTCTCAGCCTTGCCCCTCTGAGCGCCAGCCACCCAAATGTTAGAAACGTGGAGATGGAGGCTCAGAGAGGGCAGGTCGTCTGCCTGGCCAAGCAGCTCTGAAGGGGTAGGGCAGAATTTGAACCCAGATCTGTCTGACTGCAGAGATGTTTCCACATCAGTGTGAAGCTTTATACAAACTAGCAAGTTCCCTTGAAGAGAACCCAAGACTGATGAAAGTTGCTGGAAAGAAACCCCAGACGATCTAGCTTACAAAAACTTGCACCTGAACCCTCACACTCCCGTTTTCTGGTTCTGCGGTCCCAGGAAAGTCATATCTCTCCCTGAGGCTCAGTCACCTCTTTGTGGAAAACTGAGAAAATAATAGTACTTGGAAGTCCCCCAGTGCCAGGGACTATGTCTTGCTCAAGGCTATATCTCAGGGCCAAGAGGAGCACTAGCTGGAAGCAGGATTTGTTGATTGGATGGTTGTGGTGGCATAAGAATTAAAGGCTATAATGTATATGAAAGTGTAAAGTGCCGTTAGGATGGGAGGGGCGTTTTAGTATTGCTTAATAAAAATAGTAGAGTCATGGACAAGTCAATGGCTTGGGTAAACTGTTTTTCTTCCTTTTCCTCTTGGGCACATTGAGATGTTCAGGAGGAGAGACTAGGAGATAGTAGAACTGCAGGAAAGATAGAAGGACCTCCCTGGCAGATCCTGGTGAGGCGCACATAAGCCAGGAGAAGCTATTGAAGCCGCTCCTGACATCCCAGGAAGAGCTGGGAGAGACCTCAGCCAGAAGAGCAACGAGAAAGGCGTTAGAGAGCGTGGGAAGTCCAATGTGGTTTCAACACTGGCTCTTGTCACCAACTTGCTGGCCTAGGCCCATCACCTCATCTCTCTGAGCAAGTGACCCCTCTATCTAGCAAGAACAATAGTACCCACATCTCAGAGATGACATGAGGGCTGAGAAGGCAGCAACCCTGAAATGGAGGAACAGTGTTACAAGTAGGAGATGCTCAGTGAAACACAGTTTCCCTTTCCTCAGAGCGCAAAGCACAACCAGCCTGAGGAGCCTGACTCCATACCCTCTCTGATGACAAAGAGAAACCTGGGGGAAGGCGTTGGGAAGGGCCTCTGAGATGGGGCTGGGAACAGACCACACATGGTTAACTAACCTTTTCTCAACCTAAGGCTGTGGTAAGGGGAGAACTGGGTAAGGCCTGTGGTGCTGAGTGGGGAGCCCAGGACTGAGAAAAGTTTGGTGTCCCTGTGAAGTCCCCCAAAGCCAAAGGGAATTCTTTCAACTGCATGTATATGTGACGGACCCAGCAGGGCAGATGTGGGCCTGCACAGGAGTGTCCTCAGGGAGGGGCAAGAAGTGAAGGAGGAGATGGCGGCAGGCCCTAGAGCAAGTACTCGCCACACAGGCACTATGGTGCCGTCACTGCTCACTTCTGAGGCTTGGCTGTGGCTGTCGGTTGGACATAGGATAACTGTCTGCAGCAGGGTCTGGGGTACAGGCTGGACTAGGGGGAAGGGGGAGCATGAAATGCAGCAAGGGGTAATGCCACCATAATCTGGGCAACAAGCCTAGTCAAGTGGATGACAGAACATGCCAGAAAACTAAAGAAACTGCAGAGAATGACTCAAAAACACTTCAGTGGGCACCTCCTCTATGCTAGTTCTTTTTTTTTTTTTTTTTTGAAATGGAGTTTCGGTCTTGTTGCCCAGGCTGGAGTACAGTGGCACAATCTCGGCTCACTGCAACTCCTGGGTTCAAGTGATTCTCCTGCCTCAGCCTCCTGAGCAGTTGAGATTACAGGCACCTGCCACCACATCTGGGTAATTTTTGTATTTTTAGTAGATACAGGGTTTCACCATGTTGGCCAGGCTGGTCTTGAACTCCTGACCTCAGGTGATGCATCTGCCTTGGCCTCCCAAAGTGCTGGGATTACAGGTGTGTGCCACTGCACCCAGCCACATGAAAGTCCTTTATCTCCATTAGCCTTCGTGGGAGAGGAGTGTTAGACTTTATTTTCCTCCATTTTACTGATTAGGAAACAGAGACTAAGAGATATGAAATGGCTTACACAAGGGTTTCCTGCAAAAGGGTGTGGTATGTGACAGCTTCTAAATTTTGGTCAAGATGACAGGAAAAGGAGAAACTCACATCTGAGCAAGCCTTAGGCATGAGTTTGGCACTAAAATCATCTGTGTGCCTGACTGTAGTGGCTACATTGAGGAAGACATGCAGGAGGAACTGAAGTGGGAAAGAAAAGGTCTCAAGAACACAGGTTTTGACCAGATAACCCTGGGAAGGTCCACTCTAGACTGTGTCAACCCACTTGGGGCAGGAGTGGCACCTGTGTGTCAAGGTGGCAAAAGTGATATGTTTGGAGCTGAAACACCTCAGCTCAAGCTCCTGTCATGTCTTAAACCCAAGTCATATCACTTCTTTCTGCCCCTTTTCATCACTATTAGTAACATGATTATCTCAACCTTGCAGTTGTTTAGAGCCTGAAAGGAGACTATTACTATCTCAGATATGAAAAGTTTTGTAAAGTGGAAAGGGGCTGCATGGGCGAGAGCCCAGGGCCCTGTGGCAGCTGCAGTCACGCTGCTCTTGACAGCCTTGAACAAGCATGAAACAGGGACCAGTGCTGAACTTACCAGCTCTGAGCTGTCTGAGGGCCGGGGCAAGCCCTCCTCAGGGCAACTCAGGGCTTCTTCACCCTGCTGCAACCCTTCAGACCCAATGGAGTCCATGAACTTCCACAGTGGAGGCTGGCCACCTATGGGAGAAAAGGGACAACCTGGGTCAACCACTTACTCTATAGGTCCTAGGAGTCTGTAACCCAGACCAATTTCCCTTCTTCTGAAGGGGACCAGGGAGGAAGTTGGGGGCAGAATTCAGAACCTCCGACCATCAAAGATCCTGTAGCAGTCAACCAGAAGACCCTTGTTTTTCAGAAGCACGCATAACGAAAAAGCACCGGAAAGGCTGATTTCAGTCCAAATGCCATTCATTAATTCTCTCAATTCATTCACATTCACTAGTTTCTGATGCCTGCTATGCTGGATGTTGCGATACAGATGAAGCAGACCTAGGCCCAGCCCTCAGGGACCTCATAGTCTCATCAACAATCACAGTATGATTAGCACAGGCAGTGGGAGAGATGGCCACAGGCAATAGATGGACATGCTGCTGTGGTTGGGCAGGCAGGGACATGCTAGCGGCTTGGAACAAAGAAAGAACCAAAGATCTGACAGAGAAGCAGGCAGGCTGGATAGGAACAGCCATTATCCCAGTCTAAGGCACATGAATTTTCATCCTGAAGGCAACAGGAGTAATGGACAGGGGTGGGGTTTCCACTAGTGACATGACCTTGGGCAGGTGATTTATGACTTCTTTGAATTTCAGCTTCCATCTGTAAAACAGGCAGAAATAATATCTACCCTCACAAGGTTGTTGTGAGCACTAAATAGAGTAACACCTGGGGAAGTGCTTTATGAAATGTGATGTACAACATAAACATCAGGTGGGTGTTGATGGTGCAGTGATGCAGAGCAGAAAGAGGCTGGTGCTCAGAGGTGGGGACCCAGCTCTTCACAAGGCAGCTGGACCACAACTCTCAACCTCGAGGTTTAATCTTCATCTGCGAAATGGAACCAACATATATCAAAGGGCTTTGCGGTGCATATGAGATAATGAAAGCAAAAGAATTTGGCCGGGCACTGTGGCTCATGCCTGTAATTCCATTACTTTGGGAGGCAGAGACGGTGGATCACCTGAGGTCAGGAGTTCCAGACCAGCCTGGCCAACATGACAAAACCCCATCTCTACTAAAAATATAAAAATTAGTCAGGTGTGGTGGTGGGCACCTGTAATCCTAGCTCCTTAGGAGGCTGAGACAGGAGACTCACTTGAACCCAGGAGGCGGAGGTTGCAGTGAGTAGAGATAGGGAGCCACTACACTCCAGCCTGGGTGACAGAGCAAGACTCCATCTCAAAAAAAAAAAACTTGCTTAGATGTGCATTCAGATTTACATAGCTGAATGTGAACCGAAACTCTATGAGTCTCAATTTTCTCTTCTAATATGGCAAGCTAAGTTCTTGTGAGGATTAAAGGAGTTAATGGTCCTTTGCACACTGTAAAGAACTGTAGGAATGTCAGATATTTTGCTCATCTGAGCAGGAAGTGGTATTGCTGTTCAGTAGTCCCAAGGGAGCCCTCCGTGATTCAGGTGCTCTTTAGGGGTGGAGGAAAAGGGAAACACAGCGGAGGGCCCAATATGGGAAGAGACATCTGTCCACAGAATCGCTTCATCTCTCTTCCTTCCAACAGCAAAACTTCTGGAAATATAGTACCTTCCCACCCCAGCAATCCCCTCCTCGGCTTCTCCCATTACGCTCACTAATTTGCCCTCCACTAGACTCCTAACTGCCCAATCCCAAGCCTTTTCCTCAGTTCCCACCTTTACTACCCTCCCTCAGATATGCAAATCCACTAGTCATTCTCTTTGCTGCAAAATTCTCCCTGTCCTTAGCTTTCACAGCCAGTCTCTCCTAGGTCTCCTTCCTGAGTCTCTCATAGTCTTCATCAGTAACTTATCTTCCTTTAGGCAAAGGAGTTTCCAAGTTTCTGGTCATGCCCTCCCTCTATACTCCCTTTATCTCACCCATTCCCAAGGTTTCATTAATAGCTATGTTAGGGCTTCCAAATCTACCTTTGACTTGAGCCAAATCCTAAATCCCAATGGTCTGTTAGACATCACTAAATGGATGGTGGAGAAACTCCTCAAATTCAACAAAGCCACCTTCATTTTTTCCATCAGTTTTCCCCCACAAAGCTCTTTTGTTCTCCACCTTGACTGGAGGCATCACAGTGTGCTCACTCACATAGCCATTCAGGTTGCCTGTGCACATCCTGACCCTCAACTCCTCTATGCAATTGGATCTCAGGCTAAGAGTTCTCCTTCGTGTCCCCTCCTCCCCATTCCCACAGCCACTGAACCAGATCGTCCGGCTTGATTATTACAACAACTTCCTGATACCTCTGCTTCTAGTTTCTTCACCTCCTTACCCCACTTAAACTGATCACCTCTGCACTCATGGCCAGTACAGTCTGGCATATGTGCTAAGGTACCTTTCTAAAACTGGAAGCAAGGGGAGTGGGGAGTTTTCTCTTATTTAATAAAGCAACAAATCAGCTTCTGATAAATCTCCCCCAAACCACACATACCTATGCTCTTTCCAAATCCATCAGACAGGGATGTGAAATGCTTGTTCTATGCTACAGGTCTATTTCAAGGATAGAATGAGGTAACTGGGGCAATTACCTTTGAAAAGAAAGAAGGGCTACACACGTGGCCTTCTCCTTTCAAGGCCTAGGTAGCTCATTCATTCATTCCCTCATCCACTGGATATTTATTCAGCATTTTGACATGACAGAATCTGTGAAGTAACCCCCAAGTAGCCTTAATATGTATATGGTAGGTACATACATTCAGCTCTGTCTCTTCCAACTGGGATTCCTTGTGGGGAGGGATGTGTCTCCTTCACTGCAGTATCCCCAGAGCCCAACCTAGGGTCTGCACATGTTTGACTAAGGGACCTTTGGCTTTCCTTAGCTGATGGGCTACCTGAAGTGAGTTTTCCTTCTGAAAAGTACCCCCGGGGACCTCTGCTGATGTTGGGAGCTGACATCAAGAATCAGCTGGCAAGCTGGGTGCGGTGGTTCACACCTGTAATCCCAGCACTTTGGGAGGCTGAGGTAGGCAGATTACTTGAGCCCAGGAATTTGAGATTAGCCTGGGCAACATGACAAAACCCCATCTCTACAAAAAAAAAATAAAAAAATTAGCTGGGTGTGGTGGTGTATGCCTGTAGTCTCAGCTACTGGGAGACTGAGACAGGAGGATCACTTGAGCCCAGGAGGTTGAGGCTACAGTGAGCCCTGACTGTGCCACTGCACTCCAGTCTGGGTGACAGAGAGAGATTCCGTCTCAAAAACAAATTAAGAGAACCAGCTGGCTTAATCTTTCCAGTGTCCATTTCCCCTAGTGTGAGCCAAACAGGAGGGATGAGGACAAGACAGCTGCAGAAGGAGCAGGCAGTAATTAGACAGAGGCACTTACCTGGAACACACAGAAGCTGGTCACTCTCCTCAGGTCTGAGCTCTTCTCTGGCAATGTGAGGCACCCCAATGTACCCAAAAGTGACACTGTACCAAAAAGTGACACTCAGGTGACCCGAGTTATCCTCAAACCCCACCCTTTTCCTCCACCACTTACCAAACATCAGTTAATTCAGGAAGCTGTACTTCCTTCCAAGCCTGCCCTAAGAGTAGCCAGGCTAGGCAAGGCTGTGGTGAAAACTTGCAAGATGACCACAGCAAAGTCAAGCCTTGGTCTGAGTCTAAGATTGTGGGACGTTCCTTCTACAATGCTGAGGGCTCTCAGCATTTTGTAAATAAAATGAGTTTTGAGGTGGTGGCTCACCCCTGGAAGGAGCTGGAGGTGCCTAGCCCAGGAAAGTTATGGTAAGTATTTCTGAGCAAGAGGCAATGTGGAAGCAAAACAGAAAGCAGCTGACTCTGCCCAAGAGTGGACAGGGCTAGCTGAGGAAGCTGAGCCTTGAAGAAAGAATGGCAGTATGCTGACAGAAGTGGTCCTTGACAAAGTGGAGAGCACATATAAAACCATGAATCACACACACACAGGTGCCTTCATGGAATGAGGTGCAGCTCCAGGTGCCTGAAGAGGATACATGAAGGTGGGGATACTTGGTGGAAGAGGTGACAGATGAGGTGACAGACTGTGGAGTCTAGCCTTTCATCTGTAGGCCAAGCAGGGAGAGTAGGTTCACATGGCAGGTCTTCTCTACAGAAGGAGAAGGGGAATCTTAGGCTGTTATGGAGCTATTGGCCAAGCTCTTTTTCTGCAGAAATTTCTCCTCAAAGTCACAGAACCTTGGAGCACCAATATAGGATACCAGACAGCCTGCAACAATCTTTGCTGAAGGCAAATTGGTGGATACACACTTTAAAGCTTCAGGCTGCCTCATCAGCAGTAACCTTATCATTATCCCCAGATAGTACAAGGCCTCCACATCAGGATGGAGACAAGGGACAGTAGCTCCTCCATCAGTTGTGGCATGAGGAAACATGCCAAACATCGGTCCTGCTGTGCTGTTTACTGGGTACCAACCAGGCACACAGGCTGTGAAAGACAGGGAAGTGGGGGATGGGCGGTGGAGGGTAGAATGCCTGTCACCCACAACATAGCATCCTGCCTAGCCTGGGATCCCAGTCCCTCTCAACTTTGTTCAGTTGGGAGAGGAGAATTTGGAACTGAATATGAAAGGCCCAGCTGTGATTCATGCTGACAACCTGCAATTTCTTGAGCCAGGGTGAGGATATGCCCCTAACAAGCATTGCCAGGGCTCCAGAAATCTGTTTCTGGAAGGTCTGTATCCAGACCCCAGAAGCAGGGGTCCTGGTTCCTTAGTCATAATGCCAGGGAAAGTCTGGGTCAAGGTCAGTGGAGGGAGGACGGCTGAGCTTGAGTTCTGTGAGCAGCTGGGACAGCCTGGCTGTAGCAGAGACACTGCAGCTGCCAGTGGTTCTCTTCAGAAACCAGATGGCCACTGACCATCAAAGGGAAGGACAAGTACTGACAAAGTTCCCTCATAGCCCCTTAGTGCCAATCTTCAACTGTACAGATGGAGCTAAGGAATGAGGAAAGGCAGTTCACTGGGGGAGAGCTGGGCACAACCAGAGCACTGCCGATGGGCTGGGAGGTCAGGCCTTCCCTCTGAGCTTGCTCACAGGCTTGCTTCTCACCACCCACAGTGCCCACAGCCAGGCACACAGATCCTCAATAAGCTCCCCCACAATTTGCTCCACACCTTTTATACCATGGATGTGCCTTGCAGCTCTGCTACACACATCAAGCTACTTCTAACTATCGTGTCTTTGTGGTGATGTGTCTGGAATGGCCCTTGCTTTGGCCTCTCCCACCTTTTCACCTAATTTTTCCTCATCCCTTAAATTATAGTCAAGGGGGAGCCCTCCCTGAAAAGCTTCTCCTGGCCCTGACCCCATTTGAGTGTGGTCTGCTTATTGATTCTGTATTATCTTGGATGTTCTTGTATCACTGCATTTATATCTGTTTATTAAAGGCATCTGCTATGTGTCCATCTTCCCCATTGTACTGTGGGCTCCCAGAGAAGGTTTCTTATTCACCTGTGCAGCCTCAGAGCGCAGTTCTATATCTGGTAAGGAACAAATCTCAGTTAATTTTTGTTAAATTGAAGAGCCTTCCCAAAACTTCAACAGTCCAGGGCTGGCTGAGTGTGGTGGCTCAATCCTGTAATCTCAGCACTCTGGGAGGCCGAGGCAGGTGGATCACTTGAGGTCAGGAGTTCAAGACCAGCCTGGGCAACATGGTGAAACCCCATCTCTTCTAAAAATACAAAAATTAGCTAGGTGTGGTGGTGTGCACCTGTAATCCCAGCTACTTGGGAGGCTGAGGCAGGAGAATCGCTTGAATCTGAGAGGCAGGGGTGGCAGTGAGCCAAGATCACGCCACTGCACTCCAGCCTGGGTTACAAGAGCAAGACTCTCAAAAAAACACTCCAGGGCTTTTGAAATGGAGAGGAAATAAGTACTATCTTCCTGGTGCACATGGTTTCAGCAGTCTTTCACTCATCCATCTTTCCACTGACAACTACCAACCCTGTCATCCACTTACTACCTGCCTTCCCCTCCCCAAATTCCCATCTGTTAACAACTTTAGGCCACAGCTACCCTGCCTCACAGGCAAAACTGAGCTGATCCAAACCTGAAATTTCTCTTGAGTCATTAGTTTTGTGACCGAAATGGAAAGTAGGAAGTAGTGTGGTATAGTACAGAGAGCTTCAGCTGTGGGGCCGGGCAGACCTGGGTTCAAAATCTCATTCCATTACCAACTGAATGATCTTAGGAAAATCTCTTCACTTCTCTGAGCCTCGGTTTTCCTTGTATAAAACATGGAGACTAATTTCTTCATAGGATTTGCTTTACATTACATCCCCCCAGAAGCAGACCTAATTCGAATGCAAATAACTTTATTCAGGAAGTGATCCAAGACAGGGCCAGGATTAGGGCAATGCAAGTGACATGCCTAGGGTACAGAAAGTAAAGAGACCCTCTCAGGTTCACACAGGTGCCAGCCTTGCACTTAGATGAACCCAAGAAAAAGGCTCCTCACCCTAGTTCCCAGTCCTGATCCAGAAAACACGGAAGAGGAGCTGGAAGTCAGGTAGGAAGAGAAAGAAGTCAACAAAGTATAGGTAACGTTACTAGGAGCTTAAAGAGGTTCACTCCCACAGGGAACACTGACAGGTAGAATGTGCCTTAGAGTTGTCTCTCATTCAGTGAGGAAGCTGGGGTATTTATCTTACCACTTCCACTGGCTGAGAGCTGCCCCAGGGGCACTAATTCTCTGGCACTCCCAGCTTGTATCAACACAAACCAAGAGTCAGGCGAAGAGTCTCAGGTTCTTGCAACAGGATTCTGTGGGTATATAGCAGAATGGTGAGTGCTTGGGGAGAAATGGGCCAGGCGCAACCTCTGCTGGGGCTGCTATAAGGACTGAATAAAAAACACAACTATTCTGTTGGTTGCCAATTCACTCTAATGACTGTTTCTTTTGCCGTGCAGAAGCTGTGGAGTTTGATTAGGTCCCATTTGTCTATTTTGGCTTTTGTTGCCTATGCTTTTGGTGTTTGGTCATGAAGTCCTTGCCTATTTCTATGTCCTGAATGGTTTTGCCTAGATTTTCTTCTAGGGTTTTTATGGTGTTAGGTCTTACGTTTAAATCTTTTTCTTTTTTTGAGATGGAGTTTTGCTCTTGTTACCCAGGCTAGAGTGCAATGGCGCGATCTTGGCTCACTGCAACCTCTGCCTCCTGGGTTCAGGCAATTCTCCTGCCTCAGCCTCCTGAGTAGCTGGGATTACAGGCACGCGCCACCATGCCCAGCTAATTTTTTGTATTTTTAGTAGAGACGGGTTTCACCATGTTGACCAGGATGGTCTTAATCTCTTGACCTCGTGATCCACCCGCTAGGCTTTCCAAAGTGCTGGAATTACAGGTGTGAGCCACCGCGCCCGGCCATGTTTAAGTCTTTAATCCATCTGGAGTTAATTTTAGTGTAAGGTGTCAGGAAGGGGTCTAGTTTCTGCTTTCTGCACATAGCTAGCCAGTTTTCCCAACACCATTTATTAAACAGGGAATCCTTTCCCCATTCCAGAACGGGAAAAAATTTTTGCAGTTTACCCGACAAAGGGCTGATGATATCCAGAATTTACAAAGAACTAAAACAGATTTACAAGAAAAAAACAAGCCCATTTAAAAGTGGGCAAAGGATATAAACAGACACTTTACAAAAGAGGACATACGTGATGCCAACAAACATGAAAAAATGCTCATCATCACTGGTCATTAGAGAAATGCAAATCAAAACTACATTGAGATACCATCTCACGCCAGTTAGAATGGCGATCATTAAAAAATCTGGAGACAACAGATGCTGGAGAGGATGTGGAGAAATAGGAACACTTTTATACTGCTGATGGGAGTGTAAATTAGATCAACCATTGTGGAAGACAGTGTGGCGATTCCTCAAGGACCTAGAAATAGAAATTCCATTTGACCCAGCAATCCCATTACTGGGTATATATCCAAAGGACTATAAATCGTTCTACTATAAGGACACATGCACACGAATGTTCATTGCAGCACTATTTACAATAGCAAAGACCTGAACCCAAATGCCCATCGATGATAGACTGGACAGGGAAAATGTGGCACATACACACCATGGAATATTATGCAGCCATCAAAAACGATGAGTTCGTGTGTACCTATGCAACTATCTTGCATGTTCTTCACATGTACCCCAAAACCTAAAATGCAATGAAAAAAAAAAAGAAAAGAAAAACACAACTATAGTGCCTTACAAAGAGAAGTCCTCCTCTATCTCTTCTAATTTATGGCAATAGCTCGTGAAGTTCATGGAGCTTCCCAGCTCTCCATGAGTTGGCAGCACCAGCAGAACAGCTGTTTGTCAACTTTCAGAAGTAAAAGAAATCCAGGGGCCCTAGGAGAGCCTAGATGCCCAGGACCCAAGTTTCCTGTGGAAGCCTGAAGGTTGGTGGAGCCAGAGTAGTCCCTCCTGAGTACGCACTCCTCTGAAAACTATCTCCTCTTGCATCGGCACCCCCGCCCCCATTCTGTCACCCCTAGTGCAACATCATTTGTGACACAGACTAACATCACATTAATAACTGCTGCTGCCACTAATTCATTCTTCTAGGTGAAGACACTGTGCTAGAATCTTTATGCACATTATGGTAATCCTTAGAACCCTGTTAGTATGCTTTTACCAGATCTCAAAGAGGCTGACTTTTTATCAGAAGCAGGGTGCGGATGTAGGCTGATCTCCCACATTTTCCACTTTGTCTCTTCACTCTTTCACTAATGCTCCTCTCACAGGATCACAGCACGGGGAGAATAAAATTGTAGGCAAATAAGACTTATGGGGAGGTGACAGGGGCAGCGGGTGGCTGTTCTTCCCTTGACTCCCCATTAGCTAATAATTAAGCCTATGGTTCCTGGTCTGGCTGATCCATACCCTCCTGCCGTTGACTCATGTTTTAGGGACACTGCTCAATTTTAAGCTAAATAATTCACTTTTCAGAAGTAGCCCTTTCCCTTTTCTTATCTTCAGGCAAACAGAAACACACACTATCCCATTTACAGAGCTCTACCTCCAATAAATTGCCATTTAATGAGACAGAAAACAAGCGAGAGTTAAGCTTATGAGACATAACTGATCAACTACTTTTCACTAGAAGGAAAACAGGAAAATAATACTGGAGTCAAAATATAGCATTTTCTTTAGGAACGAAGAGTAGGGGCACTGTGGTCTTACTGCCGTGGACAAAAGGTGGCTTATTTGTTCCTCTAAGCCTTTGTTTCCACATCTGGAAACTGAGATAATACCTACCCCAGAGGGCTGCTATGAGGATTAAATGAAGGCCGTATACATTGCCTGGAGCATAGTAGTTGCTCAAAGAATAATAGCTATTTCATATGTGATGCTAGCCACAAGGTCAGTGCCATCCAACACAAAGACATTATCTATGAAAGGAAAAGACAGTGACACTGCCATCTTGCCTTCTTCTAACTCAAAAGCTTGTGCGCAAAGGGACCTCTAAACAGAAACAAGGCCTTAATGTTTGTGCTATCTTCCATCCCAGCCATGTGTAAACTCCCCAGTCTAATACAGACTTCATTTTCATGTTAAAAGAAAACTTTGGACATAATCAGAAGTTAGGAGAGCCTTTTTGAGTGTGCCTGTTTATCCTGTCCCAAGATGCTTTCCTGGTCAACAGCCACCTCCCCCGGTTTTTCATTAGATCTTCAAATCAGCTTTGGCCAAAGCTAGCGTTCTTCACATCCTTGTTTGGTCATCTCCCTCAGGTAGCTGCTTCTGCCAAATGACATCCTCTCATCCTTGGAGTCTGTGCATGCACTGAGAACAGACCACATCTCTGTTCTGCACTGGAAGCTCCTAGGCAACATAGTAAGCAATGTGTACCATGTTAGTAATGTTACCGAAATAGAAGCTATTTCCTGTTGCTGCTAACCTTTGGCATCAAGAGAACCAATCTTGATTTGAACAGATGAATATGCCTGGAATCCTCACTGGTTAATCTATTTAGAAAACATAATTGCATAGGGACCTAATAACCGAGTGTTCACTTACACATTCCTGGGAAGAATGGTAGGACACATCCCTCAAAGGTTCTATGCTTAGGCTGAGAATTCCACTGTGAGTACAAGATGAAGGGACAGGTTACTGAATGATAGGGATAGCAAAATAGATAGTGGGAGTCAATGCCCCTGGCACCTCCCAGAATTATATCAGAAACAGTCAAGGAAGTAACCGCACAGTGTTCAGAATTGTGCAGTACACATCAAGTAAATATATACATGGTATGTCAAGGATCAATAATGGAATTCATTCAGCATGTGATTTATGAGTCTAATAAACTACCTCTAAGATGAAAATATCCCCACCCCAAACCCTGAAATATGAAGGAAAAAAAATTAAAATTTCCATCTACTGAAATAAGATTTCATACAAACATAAATATATTTAAATTTTCTTTTAACTGTAAGTAAATTTAAACAAACTGTTATAAAACAGAACACTATACACAGTTATCTGCATAGATCATAAAAAACATAAAAACCAGAATGCTGAGTGGGTGCTGGTGGTGAAAACTGCAGGGCTAAAACTTGCTGAACAATGAACCAGAACACGGCCCACCCCTCCTACTAATTTCTAGGGTCCAAAGGTTAGACCTTTGGACCCTAGAATTCAGAATTTTCTCCTCCTTCCTCTGCCAGCTTTGGTCCGTGTCCGACTACCTGGCTGGATAGTAACTTGCTTTTTAAAGTCCACTAAGCAATCTGTGGCTTCTGAAATGGAAACAAAAGACTTGATTGGAGATTCATTTAAGTCATGATGTGTGAAGGAACTCTGCATCTCTCTGCTGCAGCCTGCCTCTTCCATCCCTGGTGAGGGCATCCTAGAGAGAAGGAAAAAATTCAGATTCAATATAAACCTATTCAGCATCAAGGATATGCTATACACTGTATCAGGAGATTTTACATATCAGGGGATTATTAGTAAAAATATTCTTTGTAATAATCCCACCACATATCATCACTGTTTTCAACTGGGTAAATCATATACTTAAAGTTGGTCATCGAGAGAATCAGAAGACAGATCCAAATTCCCAAACTGCTTGAGAATCCAGGCCAGAAAACTAGGGTTGGATTCTCAACCCTAGGGTATAGAGAGGTAGAGAAGAATAAGACGTAACTTTTGCTCTGCTTGTTTTAACATAATGCATGAATTGAGCTATCCAATCCTTAGCTCAAACAAATGCAAAGCACAGAGTCATACTGACAAGAGGTCATAATACTTCCACAGTGATTTCTACTGCAACAGTCTGAGTATCACACTATACACAAAACACAGGACCAGGTCTGCACTTCTCAGAACTGAGGACAGCCACAATTCAGTGCACAACCCAATTCACCTGAAGGCTCCTCTTTCTGAAGACTTGATCTCTCCATCTGTGATATGAAAGAAAAAATAGTAATGTTGGTAGTAGTGTTAGTAATCATATCACTTCTCACTGATCTTTTGCTTCCTGTGTTCTAGGCACTGCTACTCATCAGGCCTATCCAGGCAGCTCAGATACCCAATCCCCTAAACCCACAGATGTGAGCATTACTGTCTAACAGACTCAGCTGCAGGAGCACTCAGATGAACACTTTTGAATGAACAACCTCTGAATAAATCTACTTCAATTCTGGACTTGAGGAACAAGGAGTTGCCAAGTGAAATCTGCCACCTGCAGATTTCTAGATCACAAACTGGTGATCTAGAGACAGCAGAATATGAGGTTGGGAGAGGCTGCCTTTTTATTGTCATCAGAAGGCACAACAGATTTGCTCGGTGGGAATGACTATTAGAAGTAGATGGTAAGCAAATCTCACTAGGCTTAAGCAAAAGCTCCTCTTCCATCTGCATCTGGTGAATTTTAACAATAGCAACTAATAACAAAAGTAATAATAATAGTTAACATTTATCAAGAGCCTACTTATGCCAGCGAATATGTTTAGAGCTTTACCAGATATAATTCTCGCAATCTATGAGGTTTGGTATCACTAACTCCCTGCAATGGTCTTAACCAATACATTCTACCACTCCTTAAATACTAGGCACAAACCCTCAAGATCGCAGGTTGGGACACTAAGCTAAAGGTAACATATGAATGATGCACAAAACAATAGGAGGAAGCAATAATGTCTCCATATCTAGTTTTCTGTGCCTGTTCCTTTAGAAGGTATACTTGGGGCTTGTTGTATTCCCCTGTGTTTTGATAGTGTTTTTTTCCGAATTCAACAAGCAGTCCTGATCTAAGGCTTTGTAAAGCCTGAAATGAAACTAAGGATGAAAAAGATACCATATTGTCCCATCTTCCTTAGAGAGAGATGACCTAGATTGTGTCTCAAAGGCTGGCTGATTGGGTCACGTGTGTACCCAGATAACCCCAGCAAATAGGGGGTTGGGGATGGCTATCTTCACTGAAAGGCCTTAGGCAGAAGCCCCAAAAACTGGTCCTGGGGTCCTCACCTGAAGTCTTGCGCTCAGACTGTTCCAAGAAACTAAGAAGTCGGCCTTCACTGTGGCCTTTTTTCTGTAACAGAGAAAAACAGACAAAACTTCATGGCAGATAGTCTAAAATACAACTTCCATGGACCAGATCACATGTGTTTATAGAAGAGAAAAGATGTGGGGCCACAGCTCTAGGGAAGTCTTTTTTTTTTTTTTTCTTTTTTTTTTTGAGATGAAGTCTTGCTCTGTCACCAGGCTGGAGTGCAGTGGCACAATCTCAGCTCACTGCAACCTCCACATCCCGGGTTCAAGTGATTCTCCTGCCTCAACATCCCGAGTACCTGGAACTACAGGCATGCACCACCACGCCCAGATAATTTTTTGTATTTTAGTAGAGATGGGGTTTCACCATGTTGGCCAGGATGGTCTCGATCTCCTGACCTCATGATCTGCCCACCTCGGCCTCCCAAAGTGCTGGGATTATAGGCGTAAGCCACTGTGCCCAGCCTTGTTTTCTAATAAATGAGGGTATACAAGTTTAAAAACAAACTGTAATGAAGAGAATACATTGCTATGGCAAGATTACCATGGATTTAAAAGAGAAAATAAATGTTAAGGTGGCGTTTATAGGCAGTGATGCCAGAAGAATAAACTGGCTGTATAAGTGTTTACCTAATAAACCATAACTCCAAATCTCCACCTCAAAATCACCCCATCAATAGAGTGGTCTCTTTCTTCTGGCATGACAGACAATAGCTTCCTCATTTTAGTATGTATAGTGATTCCTTTGTTGGTAACCCTAGAATATGGAGCTGCTGCTTTATCTTTCATATCTAAGCCAAAACTTGGTCTTCCTGAATTACAAGGCCCAGAAAATAAGTACATCCATCCTTCCCAGTGACCAGGGCCTAGACCTGGCAGCTTTCTAAGGCAGGGTACACAAGGAGTTCAACAGAGTTGATCTCTCATATATTCTTGGCAGTGGGATTATGAATTGGATATCCTTTCTGGAAAGCAATTTGGCAGGTTTCAACAAACTTTAAAATGTGTACATCCATTGACCTAATAGTTCCATGTCAGGAAATGTATTCTAAGGAAATAGTCAGTAGTACAAAGACTGATTAATATTTTAAATACAATCTTATAATACCGAAGAACTGAAATGTCCAATAATAGGTGAACGGTTAAATGACCATCTGTGTAATATATACATTAATTTTTAAAAATAAAACCCAAAATGATGTTTATGCTACACCTTAAGTTTTCATAAACAGAAAACTATATATCGAGTACTATATAGAATATAGTATACATATAATACTTGATATATAGTATGTAGTGTGTGTGTGTGTGTGTGTGTGTGTGCGCTTATTGTATACATATTGAGAGAGAAAAGGGGGGAGAGGGAGAATAGTGTCAATTACATTAACAATGCATAGAAAAAAAAGACCAGAAGAAAATAGGCCAATATATTAAAAGTTATCATCTTTGAGTAGCTAAATTATGGGTGATGATTTCCCCCAATTATTTATATTTTTTGAACTTTCCATATTTTCTACAATGAACATGTATTACTTTTTAAATTAAAACGAAAAATAATTTTAAAAAGCACAAATACTGTTTCAAGATAAATAGAGGGAAGAGGGGAAGGAGACAAGGGAAAAAGCCAGAACAGAACTGTGGCCTCTAACAACTGATAAGCAGGAGGGTTAGCTAGCCTTTTCCAAAACACTCTATGCATATACCTTTGGGTTCCTCAGCCGCTGCTGCCGCTTCCCCCCCAGAGTTGAACATGCTCTTTCACTCCCTTCAGGCTCATCTCCTTGGTCAGCCTTCGCAAGCTGGAGACAGGAGTCCACATGACACTGATACTCTCTAAATGGGACCAGGGATTTACAGAGATAACACTTCTCACTCCTAGCCAATAAGAAAAAAGGAAGAAAACACACTTTTAAGATGTGCTTTTGCATCTGGGCCCCTGGATATGTCTCAAATGGTGTTTTTGCGTCCCAAAGTTATTCTGTGAAGGAGACATATCAACCAATGCAGATTTACTCAGCAGGATCACCAATAAAACTAACCCAACGCCAATCAAAAGGACTGGGTGATTAGCAGTTTTCCCTGGCTGTTTCTCTGTACCCTGCTGTTGCAGCAGTGGGATGATAATGGAATCAGCTCTTCAAACTATCTCAAACAATGCTGATTGCTCTTCAGACATAAAATATTCTGTCAAACTCTTCTGAAATTAAGTGTAATAGTTTTTTCCAAAGGGAATTAAAATTTCAACAGATAAGGGAGCAACGAGAGCACTAAATTAAGTTGACATTTTTATCAGGGTGGATGAACTTGTCTGATTAGTAAATCAAGTCTGTCTATATGCTGACTTCCTTAATTCTACAATCTGCAACATCAACTAAGAAATTACTAAAAACCATGTGGTTCTGCCAGAGGCTTTAGCATAATTTTATATACATAACTATTTTTATCTTTTTAAAAGAGTACAGTTTGGGGAAAGAGAGGAAAAGTAGGTCCTTGAGGTAAAATTTACTGGGCATCAGTAAAAATGGAATCATTGGGGTAAAAGAAAAAAATGAATATTTATTAAGTATTTTCTCTGTGGTGAGAATCTGGGCAAGGCCTTTTAAACGCAATTCTCAATTAATTATTCAGCCCCATTAAGAAGGAGCTAGTCTCACTATGGTCTTATGGCTAATCATTTTCAGACACTAGATCTGCCTGACTCATAAGATCACCTTGGTTTTAAGAATTTAAAGAAAATTTTCCAAAGAATGCTACCTTGGACATCTCCTTCTGGCCATTTTTATTCAGTAACTACAGCAAGGGAGACTTCGATTAGCTATAAGGAAGACTTTTTCTAAAAATAGGAGAAATAAGTCTCTCAAATACTTAATTACCCAGAAGAATGCAAGCAAAATGCTGCCTTCTAAGAAAAGCTA